ATATCATTTTTCTTGGTGTCCTTCCACCATCTCATTAATTAACTATTTCACAGCGTGATACCTCTCAATTTTAACTTCCAAAAATTTGTTTTGTTGCACTCTTGCAAGAAACTTGGCTTCTTTTTCCCCATCTGCCCCACCTTTTCTCAAGTACTAGACTAAATAGAAATGCTAAATAATGTGAGTACAAAATCTTCTACAAAGACCTTAGCAGGCCTGCTAAAGGGCTTATAAATATGTGCCTCAACTACATGCAAGCATGGATCATAAATATTATAACCCTTTTTTGAAACTGAAGCATTGTACAAGGCTTTGTTTCATTACCAGAAGGGCAATTATCTGAGAATGACAATTCCTGGTTTGGCTGCATTCCCTGTCTGCTGTAGCAGTAACTTCCTTGTGAGGATATATGGTCAAACAGGAGCAAAAGAAGACATGAAAATTATATGTATATATATATCACTAGAGAAGTTGGTTGGTATGATTCCCATTTGCTTTCTGAAGATATTTATATATTTTCTGAAAATATTGTGAAAAAGCAGAGAAAAGTGTTCTCTGGCTAAACAAGTGTCTGGCCCAGAAAAGTCTAGCACTGAATGTGAAATGCAGGCATGCACCATCTTATCCAAGGTAAATTCACTGTTTTGACAACTCTCTGAGGCTGATCTTGAAGGACAGGATGAAATAATTGTTAAAATACAGAAGAACCTAATGCCTGGCCCTCAGCTCCTAGTAGTGTTACCTGCCAGGTCAGATGTCAAGGGTCATGTTCAGACCACATAAAATACAATTAAAAAAAATAAACATAGGAAATTAAATTACTGGACATAGAGTCTCATAAAAAGAGAGAGAAGCAAAATGTGTGAGATGTGTGACAAAGTTTAAAATATTTGAAGAACACTGTTTTGCTAGGAAGCAATGGCAAGGAGCACATAAACCCAGACATACTCACATTGTTGTCATATATTAAATCACAGAAATACTTTTTTTGTTTTTCATAAAATCATAGAATCATCTAGGTTGGAATAGACCTTGAAGGTCATTAAGTCTGACTTTTATCAATACTTTATAGCCACGTTTTCCCAAAGAACCAAAATAATCACCATAATCCAGCAAACCAGTAACAGCAATGGGAATAGAAATCCTGTGGATTGGGTTTCACTAAGCTATAAATGGCAGAATGAAAGAACTGGCTCACACTTTGACTCATGCTCATGCTTTATCAAATCACACTGTGACTAAACCACAGCCAGTGTTTAAACTTTGGAGAGGAGCACAGGCCAATGCAGTTTTCTAGCACATCCGTTGCGTATTTCCCATCTTCATTTTAAAATCAGCTGCACAGAAACCTGCTAAATGTGACTGTAATACAACCAACACAGACTGATGGAAAAGGTCAGAGAGGCATTGGAGAAAATGAAATGCTTGTTCAAGTTTTTACAGTTACAAAGTATATAAGTGACTTTCAAAGGAAAGGATACCTCCCCCATTATCTTGTGAATTAATCTGAATCTCAGCAAGTATCCAAAAGGCCTTTTTTATTGCATAAATGTATAAGTCAGGAAGAGAAGTGAATAATGTGTAGCAGCAAGAGATCAGCCATCTTGCTTGTTACCTAAAAGAGTTAATTTTAGAGCAAGCCACAGCTACTTTGCTCTGACTGTATTTAGTGTGGGTTTGAGAATGTTTTAGAGGATTTACTGCTTTAGTACATGTTTGTCCCTTTTTAACAAGTGTAAGATTATGGGGTTTAAAAAGAGATAATAATTCAGGAAAGATGAAACAAGTTCTCTTTCAAAGGCTTTAATAAGGAGCATGACATTTCTTTTTGAACAAAAGCAGTTTCTCATTTTCTTTCTCCTGTAAAGTATCTCACTTCCCCAATTTAGCTTGATTTGTATTGTTTCTAACTAACACTTTAATCCTCCTAAACAATTTTTGCTTGTTTCCACAGTCTGTTATCAATAGAAGTTTCAAAACTGTGAAAATAATATACTTTTTAGGCAGGTGAAAAGAAGAGAAAAATTTTTAAGATATGTTTGCCATCAAAAAGAGAAATGCATCACTATATGTGAATAATACTAATCTCAGACCTATGACAGATACGGACTGTACCTTAGACAGCATGGACTTTATCCTAGGCCTGCTGCTCAGGATTGCAAAGGAGTTTATACAGCTCTCACTGACACAAATTTCCATGGTTTTTCTATGGCTGGGCTAGTAAAATTAAAACTTGTTTGGGAATGTCTCTGCAGGCTTCAGTTATCTACATCTAAAGCTCAACCATATACTTTATAACTGCAAGCTAAGATTTTTCTACATAAAGTAGAAATTGGGATTTACAGAAATGACCAAGATTGCACTCCACATACCCTGAAATACACATAACAACCCCCGGTCTCTCCCTCCAATATTTATTTATTAAATAAACATCGGAATGGAAACTAAACAGCTGTTCTCTTAACTGGCTCTCAGAAGAAAATTGAATATATGATTATTTGAATAAAACTTTCCAAATCCAATTTCTCTGGCTTATCTCCAAGGATCATCTCAGTATGAAGACCTAGGAAAAATTATGGGCCAGCCAATCAAAAGTAACAGTCATAATGACTTTCAAGAATTTGTCTGTCCCTCAGATTTTGTCATAAATCTTCTAGAACTTCTGTAATCACCTGAAGGGTCTCATTCAGCTTGGCACCAATGAAACAGTTGTGTTTTTTGAGGCAAATCCTCTTTGCATGTCAAACCTTGGTTCATTTACTTTATTTTAAACCTATGAGTCACAAGGACATTTCTGATACCTAATAATCTCTTTTTCTGCATCACCATTCTCCTGGCTCCACTGGCATACAGCTGTTCTCATGCCTCCCATTCCTGTAGTGCACTGCTGCACTGTCCTTTAGGAATGATGGCTTGCTTCCCTCTTCTGTTCCCTTCACCAATTTGAAGTTGAAATACAATGCAAATGTAATATTCATAGTTTATATTTTACATGTATAATATATTTTGCATGTATGATATATGTATCAGTACCGTAGCTAGGTAGGTAACAAATATAGCAACAAAGCAACTAAGGACAAGGATGCCTACAAGAAAACACTGAAAAAATATTTGTTTACTCACCTTCCACCAACCAACCAAACATAAAGAAACATTTGAAACTCAAAACTCATTTTCAGTAAAAAAAAAAAAGGTACATTGGGGTGGATTTTGAAATATGTTGTCACTGTCCCTATCCTCTGAACTTTCATCAAAAGATGAAACACTGTAAATAAAAATAAGCATTATACACAGATTCTCATCCAAACATTACCTTAAAAAATGTTCAAAAAATTTGGCTCTCCAGAGTTGCAGCAGCATTTCTGTAAGTTTTTGGGAGGCCTTCAGGAGGCTTGAAAATCCACTACAAATTGAAACTAGCTCAAGCATCACATTCCTCTTTTCAGTCTTTTTGTGTTCTATCTTTCATTCTTTCCAAAAGAAGGTTTTGGATTTTACTGTGACAGGAAATTCATAACGGTGTTTTCAAAAATTTTATTTCAATGACTCTTGAGAAGAGCAGTTTAGCCAAAGTATGAACCTCTCCATTCATCTATTTATATCTTCTAAAGCCAGAAGCCTACATTGCTGACTGTAAGCCAGTCTTTTGCCTCTAATATTTCCTAGGTATGTTTACAGCCAGATTAAAAACATCTGCTGGACCAGGCAGATTTATCCAAAGTTCAGCCAAAGCTCTTAATCAGATTCAATTTCCTCTTGTCCTAGTCCCTTTTACTCTCTTGAAGCTTCAACAAATTATCTTTTCCAAACCTGAAAATAATATCTCATTCTCAGATTCAAAACCTTTAGATCCATTTCTGCAACAAATATAAAAACTCTCTGCACCTTCACAGGTCTCAGGTCCATAGATACTTTCTGTTTATTCCCTATGTAGCTCCAGTCTAAACCAGATGGAAAACTGCTTTCTGTTCTCCTTTGTTTTATGTCAGGGATTAGACAATAATGTCCCAGTCTTTTTGAATCTATTTCCTGTGGCTGGAATTTTTCATATCAAGTTATTTTCGCTACCTGACATTCTAAATCCTACCTAAAAATCCATTTCTTCTATGACCACTTCAGTTCCACAGTCACAAATGTAAGCTGACTGTGGTCAAGATTATTATTTTTTATTTAAACTTTCTCTTTGCATTCTACTCTTCCACGCGTGTTTTCACCTAATTTTATTTCCCCACTAAAAGTAGCTTTCCCCAGTGTCAAAGCAAAAGATGTAGTTCATAGATTATTTCATTGGTAATGATACTAAACTGCATAAACAGAAAAAGAAAGCTTAACTCTAGGTAAGGGAAGCCAATATTGCACTGTAGTAAAGCAAAAAAAAAAAATATAGAGAGTTTAATTTGAATTATTGTAACAATTTACATTCTTTTTCACAACTTTTAGCACTAAAATATAGTTGAGTATGTAAGAAACTGTCTTTTTTAAAGTTTTGTTTCAGATGGACTTTGACGAAGAACTCTGACAAATCTTGTTTAGACAGTGACTCCCACAGCTCAAAGCCAATATCTTACCTTTACATACTTCAAAAATAGCTTGGAAACATAACTAGAGTGAAGTTAAAAGGCTTAGCAAGCAAAAAGCAGACTAAAAAAGAAAAATAGTCAGACTTATTTAAGGATATTTTTAGTTATGCTGATAATTTTGGTTGTGTGACTCATACCCCAGGAAACCATTGAGATGATAATAGTCAAAGACAGGTACCTTCTGATTCAAGAAACCAGGCACAACACATCTATTCACTAAAAATCATGAACTGGATGTACACACATGTGAAGTCTACAATACCAGATTCATATAAACTCTAGATCCTTAAAAGAAGGAGGCAAGCCCCAACCCCTCACCCTACTGCTGTTTTACTTGTGCCCAGGCTACCCCAAAGCTCCACAGAGGTGACATTTATCAGCAGCCCTGCTCACAGACCCACTGGCCCCACCAGCACTCACCACCGGACGGTGCACATCCCAAAATGCTCTCTCCTGACTGTCAAGAATCTTCCTCTCTATCTTGTCTCTCTTCTTGTCAACTCTGCCAATGTCATAGGATATTTAAAAGAAACAGTTGAGGTCATAAATTTTAAACATAAAATGTGTCCAACCAGTTTCCCCCACTTCAAAAATCATGCTGACCTCCAAAGGAACTTACTTTGCTTGTGCTTCAGCTTGCATAAAAATAAATTCCCATTTCCGAGCAAAAGCTCGCTGTAGCCTGGCCAAACTCTCCTGAAAATACATCACAATTTTAGTGGGTTAGGTTGCAAGTTATTTACTCTTTAATAGGTTCTGGCTTTATCTTTCCCTCCTCTCCTCACCTGCCCCTTACCAAGATGTAATACAAATCATGATATTTGTGTCAGTGTGAATGGACCTTAGCTATCTGATACAAAGTTTTTTCTTGACAGCAAATGAGATGGAATATTTTTCAATGCCTCAACTATTCTAGTTTTTAAACTCTAATAGAAAGAATAGATGCACCCTTCAGCTGAATATGGGATTTCTGAAACATTTTTATATACTGCATGTTATCTCAGCAATTTTGAAATAGTCAAAGAAACATCCTTGTTTTGAAAGTATGTAATAATGAAAGATAACAGCAGCTATCTCCATACCGGATGATCCACATGACAATTCCTCATCAGTAATCTATGCAAATGGTTTCCACTGTAAAGTGTTGGCTGCCATTTTTGGTAGTATAGCCAAACTTCCACAGCTATCTTCATTTTTAAAAATACTGTATAGTTCTTCAATATTGTACAGGAAATGTCTCTATCCTACAGTCTGCTACTAATAACAGGAAGAAAATTTATAAAATCATTGCAAAATTATTTCTTCCATTGATGATGGACATTTTCACTGGCTCCAACAGGGCTTTCTAAATCTCTTCCCAGCTTTAACAGCAGCAGCATGCAGTCTTCTTAACAAAAGTGTTGTTTTTACTATATTTCTATGCATTGCAAATGTATCTCTGTGCCACACTCAATGAAAATGAAGACTACAGAAAGAGAAGAGCAGCCTTTCTAGAGATCTTGTCAATACCAGAAAAGGCTCTCATGGATTGTACATTGAAGGGGAGTTTTCTAAGGCATGTGAGTATAAAATTATGCATGCCCCATAGTGCAGTACACTGAAAAACAAGCTTGTGCCAAAAGAAGCAATACAGTGTGTCAGCATGGTGCTGTGGCTGGAGTACCTGGTGTGTTGAGAGGCCTGGCTGACTATCCTGCTATCAGGTCACAGCAGCACAGCTGGACAGCTTTCAGCACAGAGACAGGGCTGTTTGTGAATTTTATGTTGACGGGTTCATGAAAAATTCAGGAACTTTTTGGGGATAGAGTTGGAATTCAAGACATCTCTCTTCTTACCGAATGCCATCCTCATCAGTTAATCCAACTCCCTCTTTTTCAAGCTCTTCCTGGCCCCAATTATCTTACCTTGCTCAAGGCACAGCACAGCTGTCAGGGAGTAGGAATGCCTCTAGTCTGACCCTCTTTGCCTCTCATCTAGCTGATGGGAAAAGGCTCAAGTGTCAGCATCACTTATAAAGAATAAGTTTTACATTCCTACATCTATCAAGAGCTTTTGGAAATGTTGTCAGACAACATTTGTTCAAACCTTAAATGATGTAGAGAGAAACCACTTCCAAACGCTCATAGTGTAGCTGGGATTTGTGAAGTTGTGATCCTGGCATGGGGATCTGAGCAGAGTAAGATTAGAGATGGACTGTAATCTCAACATTTGTCCACTTAGCCTTCATTATCATCTCTCAAAGGCCATTTAAGACTACTGAGCAGTGTTAGACCCACAAGCTGGAAGAACTGGATAACTAATAGATTTTCACACAAAATGCCTATAGTTGTCATGATCCACATTATTTCACAGGTTCATCAGGCCCAGCACAGAAATTTACTTTTTGCCAGGTACTTACAGCTTCATAGTCTGCTAGTTCTAGCCTTGCTTTGTTTTGCATTGTCCGCTTGCAGAGGTAAACAGCTGGAACAGAATAAAATAAACATAATTTGCTACTATCTCACAAACATGGCAGATTAGAAATAAAAGCTTCATGTCTGGTTTAAAGCTAGCTTTTTTTGGTTTGATTTCTCCCTTTGTTCCTGAAAGCTTTAAATATGGGATCAAGGCTACCAGGATTGTAACTGAAATAACGGATCAGATACATAGGTTCATTAAATAATAATAAAATCTGCTTTATGCAACAGACATCATGTGCAAAATTTATGAGGTACTTGAGGTCAGGGTTTTTTAATGGCCAGGGAACTAGCACATTAAAGAAAAATGGCAAAGACATTTTTCAAACTGTCTTTGTATAAATCATAATGCATAAGTTTTAGAAGGAGCTGCTGCTGTATTAGCTAAACAGGATTGTAAGAACATGAATGCATGGTTTTATTTATTTTGACTCTATATTTAGAAAACACAAACTTTCAACCTAAGAAGATTTTAGCTAAAAAATAATTCTAGATAAAATTCATGTCTCATGCAGATCAGTCTGCTATAACTGATACTTAAACTAGAAAATTATGTGAGACCAAAAAATGAAAAAAAGGAAGTGTCATCTGTTACACATGAGAAAAAAATATTCTTTCATTTATTTTCTAAATCAAAAAATCCTTCAGAAGATCTGTTCTTCCTCCACCTCATTCAGACAGAGCAGAATCTTTGGTAATAAAATGCTGAAGTGTATTTTCAACAGACTTTATTTAGCAGCAAATACTTTCCAAACAACTGAGAATATTTTACAGATTCCCCCACCAGTGAGACAATGAGTGCAGCACAATTCCTAATTGTGCAATATTTACCGACTTCATTACTTCAGAGCACTGCTCATGTGAGATGGATTAATCTTTTGATCAGAGTAGGTAATAAAACGTTAACTTATCTGTCATCTCTACAGTCAGCAAAAAGAGTCATAGTCATTGGCTGTGCTTAGGGATGTTTCTGCTCCCTGACTTCCAGCTGGTCTACTACAGGAGCAAAGCCCCTCTGGGAAATAACTTCACATAGGAACTTAATTCTTTCTTACTAGGAAGAGGGAGGTGCTCATTTTAGATATAGGTTTGAATATTAAGTTAGTCAACTCAAATATAATTTAAGATTCCATGGAAATATTTATTCCTGACAAGACACCTGAAAATGCCTGCAAAACCACTCCAGTAAATGTTCTTTTAGTTTAACTGATTACAAGCACTTCTACCTGCAATTAAAGGTGTTATTTTATATAAAAGGAGTTATATTTTAATGCTTTTTTTTTTCCTTTTTTTCCCCTCCTCTTTTCATGTGTGTTATTTGGTCTATTTTCTTTAATAATATTTCACTTTCCACCCTCATAAGAAGCCATGGTCTCTTTATTCCCTGCCTCCTCACATACCCTCTGGTTCCAAGACAGTTTCTGTGTCTACAAAATCTACAAAAACAGATATATATCCATGTCACACACAGCAGACAGTTTGTATAGCCTTCATACATTGTAATATTATTATACACTTACACTAATGCATTGGCATGCATGCTGAAACATCACAAAAAGATGAGGGGATGAACTTTGGACCTTTTGTACCTAGGTGGCATTCACAATCAGTACACTGGAAATAGATTCTTGAGGACAGAGATGGTCTTTGTCATTTAGCTTCTTTTACAGTGAAGCATTCTCCTCTTTTCCTTCAAAATTCATTTTTATTTCATTGAAGAAGAAAAAAGAAATTCCTAAGCCCCTTGTAAATATTAGCAATACAATACATACTTTGTATAAGTGTGTAGACAGTTCTGAGAATTATGGGGGTCAAAATTTGTCTACCAATTTAATACCAACTGAATAGAAAGAAAAAAGGTCCCTGGTCCTGCACTTGGTCAAACTTTTAAACCACATTCTTATAGTCCCAGTACAGGCACTTATAGTTAGTTTGGCTCTTCCTTGAATCCCATTGTGTGCAAATTTTAGGATTATATTTCTTGCTACATCCTACAAAAATTCTTGTTCCAGAGGTAGCTGGCTGTTCATCTTTTTGTCAAGACAGGTTTCATCAAAAAAGTATCTTCAGGTAACAGAGATTTCAACACCGCCAAAACAACCAGCAGGTCACCAGGAGACGAATTAGCTTGACACATTATTAATTTAATACTGTGTCTTCAGTGTGTAACTCAGTTATTTTCCCTGCAGGGTTCTTTTAATAGCCCTCTTTGCTCCCAATCCATAGTAAAGAGTCCATATAAAGATGTTTGGTTTTCATTATGAACATAACTTGGACAGGACTCAAAAAATCATATTCATCCCTCAGATCCATTTTTTTTATCTGCAATATCCAGATCCCTTCCTCTTCAGAAGAGCCTAATGGCTAAAACACCTGTGGCTTCGATTCCTTATGCCAGAAATGTTTCTATGTGCCACTCTGAATAGGGTAGAATATGCCCAAGGAAAAATTACTATTGTGGGAAGTACAGCATATCCACTAGTGTAGGAGAAAAAAAGTGCTGGAGGACATTCCTACTCTGACTCAATTTATTGCCATTGCTATGTGCTAACAATTACATCCTCATAAAAGTGCATGCTTGAGCCTCTATTTAACAGCTAACTGTACTGCCACAAAAAGTTGGCAGCCGCTCAAGAATTTGTCTTCACCAGTTTACACTATCATATTATTTGATTTATATGTAAAAAATTCAATAGCATGTTGGAAAGCAAGAACGTGAAAATCACGCTCATTTTCAGCCATATTATTTGAAGACATAGATTAGTGAGGATTTGTTCTTCTGACTTTTAGGATGATGAGATTTGAAATGTGGATGCTCCCACCTTTCACAGGCACTGCTCCTTTTCTGCACCAAATCACACATGAAGTAACTGTACTTGTCCAGTAGCTGGACTTTGAGGATGTCAATCAATTTCCCTCTCAAAGCAGAGTCAGGATCTCCCAGAATTTCATGAATTACAGGGCCTGCTTTTCCAATCCCATACGTTGACAGTGCTTTTACCGTTTCACAAGTGCAGCCTGCAGGAAGGATCTCCAGCTAAAGCTCTCTATTTCTGTATATAGTTCTCTATATATCTATTCCACAAATGTTCTGGTCAGGGCCTTAATTCCATCTGAGGCCTGTACCCAGGAACTGAGCTCAAGCCTAGCTACTACCCCTGGAACAGGCTTGAGTTGTGTTGTAAATAGATCTCTAACCAGCCCTGTAGCCTATCCATGCTGCTACCTTGCTCCTGCCTGCACTCTTGCCAACCTCAGTTCTTGTTTACCCTTGCTTGCCACTCCCGACAAGGGTGATGAAAAATGCTCACCATGGGGATGACTGATATGCAAGGAACAGGGTCTGATTAATAACCTCAATTTGCTAAATATGGACTGCCTTACACACTTATTTTTAGAGCCAGTGTATTCGGATGGATTTTGCAATCAACATAATTGCCTCTACTAAAGTGAATTATATATTAGATGCTATAGCTTGTGCTTTAGAAGTGACTGATTACCACAAGAGAGCAGATTCGCCAATAATTTTAAAGGCCATATTAATTTGTAACATTTCATAATGAAAGATGGTCAGTGATGTTTATAAATGGGTATTTGAACAACAAACAAGTATTGAAACACATTTCTGTAGCTGTGCAGTAATTAGTCTACTAGCTCTTGAAAATTCTGTTCAGGCATTCACAAAATATGGGCAATCTGAGAGTTTCAAGTGAGACTACAAAGCCAGAGTCGCATAGAGAGGATGCCTGTACTTTCCCTCTTGAAAGATTTTAAACTGTCACATCCAAAAAAATTATTTTCATGGTTTGCTACATGTTTCCTATTCTTGACTGTTCACTGGCATTTGAAAGCTCCTAAGAAACCTCTATAGATTTTTTTTTTTTTACATAAGATCATAGAGATTATGACACATTTCATCCTAGACTCAAGAAACTAGGCTGAGTACACATTTTATTATACACACTTATTAAAAAAAAAATAAACTCAGAAAAAACCAAACCCAGAACTTTCACCCAAAACCCACACTGGGGAGTTTTATCTTATTGCTCAACAGGGGCTAAATCTTCTCTTTTGCCACAGTGGAGCAAAGGCCACAGCTAAATTCAATGGAAGTTTAACTGGGCCTCTGAGGACCACATATTATGGCACCTACACCCCCACCACGATGTATACAAACTTCTTCCATAACTGTGCCAGAGCCAGCGGGGTCACAGATCGATTCATCCCAAATGGTGAGCATGCTTCCAGTGAACATTCATTACCTCCACTGAGGCCAGGTTAAATTTATGTACTCCCTAAGCCAAAATCCTGTTTTCAGAGTCACCGTATGTAAGCCTAGTCTGTATCTAAAGAGCAAAAAAAACAGCAAATACTGCAAGGTCTAAGGGTTTCAAAGTGCCCTGCAGGCAGATAGTATATGCAAGTGCCTGCTTCAGATGGAGAATTACAGTACAATCAGCACAAAATGTGACTGCAGGATGTAAAGCATGAAATCAACTGTTTTGTTTAAACATTGGGATTTCTAGGGCTATTTCATACCATCTTTAGATCACCTCTGCTCTTAGTCAATAGAAAAAAAAATTGCCCTTAGCAACAGCTATTGAGTTTAATTTAGTTTTAAAAATGGGTCATCACAGAGCCCTGTGTATCTACAAAAGAATTACAATTTTAAGTAAATGCTAATAAAATTAAATTAGAAGGAAGACCATGATCAGGTTTATGTACATTAAACTGCCAAATTGTCAAAAGCTTAACTTATTAAGCACTTCTCCCCATCTCCAGTCTTTACTTCTTGATCCTATTCTTTCCTATAATACTTCAGGAAAGCAATTTAATTCTAGATTTACACAAGCAGAGGACTTTCTTACATAAACAAAGAGCAAGAACTACCAAAGAGATCAAGAATTAGAAAAAGGCAAATTCATCTTCAACATACAGAAGTACCCAGATGATGGTGGCCTTGGAAAATGCTACAGGGTGACAAAAAACGGGTATGGGAGAAAGGTC